GCGCGTGTGATGAAACAGCGAAACATCACGTAGGCGCAGTAGGCTGGGAGCGGTGGTGAAGGGGCCTGTCTTCCAGGCAATGGGAACCTCAGGGGGGTTTAGACCAGGAGAAGCGTTTAGCAATCGGAGATGGGGAGATGAGTTAGGAGACGATTACAACTGCTATTACAGGAAGGTAACCTTTTGTAATTATCAGATTGGCCGAGCACCAAAGATGTGACAGCGCAGCATGTTGATAAGGGTGTGGAGGAATAGCACTCTCAGATATCGCCAGTGAGGGCATAAACTGATACACCTCTTTGGAAGGCAACGTGATCATATCTGTCAATGTTATAAATGTTCGTAACCTACTGAGCCAGTAATTCCTCTTCTAGGTACTTAGCCTACAGGTAATACTGCACACACGCTAAATAATTTATTGGGGCGCCTGCGTGGCTCAGTCAGTTAAGCGTCCGACTTCAGCTCAGGTCACGATCTCGTGGTCCGTGAGTTCAAGCCCCGCGTCGGGCTCTTGGGCTGATGGCTCAGAGCCTGGAGCCTGCTCCGATTCTGTGTCTCCCTCTCCCTCTGCCCCTCCCCCGTTCATGCTCTGTCTCTCTCTGTCTCAAAAATAAATAAACGTTAAAAAAAATTTTTTTTTTTAAATTTATGTAGGAGGCTATTCGTTGTAGCATTTTCCTAATGGCTGAAGACTGGAACAACGTAAATGCCCATCAATTAGGGACTGGTCAGCAAGTATGGCACAGTCCATGGAAGGGGACACTATGCAGCAGTTAAAGAGAATGAAATGGCTCTATATGTACTCACATGGAAGATCTCCAAATATAACGTTAGTGACAAAGGTAAGGTGCCTAATACTATACACAATATGCTTCTATTTGGGTGGGAGGATAAAAGGATATCTTACACTGAAGTTTGTAAATGCAAAGACCAGAAGAACAAAGGAAACCAGTACAGGACGGTTGCTTTTTGATGAGAACTGTATGGCTGGGGTCAAAGGAAGGAGGAAGATTTACTTTTTATTCTAATCTTTTTGTACCCCTGCATAAAGTATCTAGGTTTTAATATCAGTTCTAAAAACCAGACCATGAATAGCTTCCTTGGTGAAATAACACACAACTGAAAGGCATTCAACTAAAAAACACTTTATAATAGAACATTTGAATTCCTGAGCAGAATGTTGAGCTTGTTTACCGGGTAAGTAAATGGACTCGAATTGTCTTGCTTGGTCTTGTCAGTTCTTAAAGTTCAGAGTAAATAGTATCTGCAAACTTGGAAGGCAGGCCTTTGAACAGTAACTGCTTCCTTCTGTGACTGTTGCTAATGCAAGTAGGTGGTGGGCAGAGATGTCAGGGAATTCAAACCCTGGATGGGTGGTTGATACAAATGCCTTACTTCAGGTCTTGTCTTTTCTTTTTAATTTTTTTTAATGTTTATTTATTTTTGAAGGAGAGAGAGACAGAGTGTGAGTGGGGGAGGGGCAGAGAGAGAGGGAGACACAGAATCCGAACAGGCTCTGAGCTGTCAGCACAGAGCCCGACGCGGGGCTGGAACTCACGAGCTGTGAGATTATGACCTGAGCCGAAGTCAGCCGCCCAACCGACTGAGCCACCCAGGCGCCCCACTTCAGGTCTTTTCTAAACTGGAGAGGTTATAGGGCACTACCCCACCAGGGTCCTCGGAATTTCTCTATTGTGATTGTTCTTTCGTTCATTTGACCTTCACCTGGACTGTACACTTGAGAAAGGAAGACCACATGCTTGTTTACCATGGCATTCTTAGTGCCCAGCGCTGAACAGGTGCATAGTAGATGCTCGAATATGTGCTCAGTTGAATTGAACATGGCTTTCGGTCATGTTGCCCCTGCACCTCTTGAAACTTAAAGCTGGGTAAATAATTGACCCTTCATTTCCCCTCAACTTACTTGCAGTGGCCAAGTTATTTTCTTCATAGGAGAAGAAAAATAGTCAAATAATGTGATGAAGTTTTTGAGTTGGTGATGAGACTTTTTAATTTAACGCAATGTAATTTAACCTCTGTGATACTAGAGTAATTGCATGTTGTTTCTAACGCATTGTATTACCGTGTAACATTACCCTACAAAGCTAAATCTTTTTATTGTCCTGCTTTAGTGCATTTCCTAATACAAATAAAACTTTTTTGGCAATAATAACTTCTGCATTGCAATCAGAACTTGAGCGTTAGAATTTATATGTATATTGGTCATTTCTCTTATTCATTTAAGAGGGGTTGAGACTGAAGTGATATGATGTAATACTGTACTAAATTATGTCTAACAAAGCCAATCATAAATGAAATTTAATAAACTCTGATTGCTTAACTAATGCGCAGTTTTATTGCTTTCCTAGAGTTGGTTTTAACGAAAATATATGGTATTTACACTTACTGGTGCAATATGCTCTCATTGTAATGACCATTAAGTTTGCTTAATAAAAAACTTACTAGGGGCGTCTGGGTGGTGCAGTCGGTTAAGCGTCAGACTTCAGCCAGGTCACGATCTCACGGTCCGGGAGTTCGAGCCCCGCGTCAGGCTCTGGGCTGATGGCTCAGAGCCTGGAGCCTGTTTCCGATTCTGTGTCTCCCTCTCTCTCTGCCCCTCCCCCGTTCATGCTCTGTCTCTCTCTGTCCCAAAAATAAATAAACGTTGAAAAAAAAAATTAAAAAAAAAAACTTACTAAAAT